TTGTGCTTGTGAGGCAGGTGGCAGAACCACTGAGCTAAATACCCAGCCCTATTTTATTCTTATAAGTTTTTAAATAAACTATTATTCATAAGATATAATGTGGAGCTACTAGATGACCTAGAAATTCCACTCCTAGTTATATGAGTATGCCCAAGAGAAATAAAAATATACATACACAGAAATGTGTATACGAATGTTTATAGCAACACTGTTCATGATAGCCTCAAAGTGGAAACAACCCAAATATTCAACCACTGACCAATGGACAAGCAAAATGTGTATAGCCACACAATGGAATTTTACTTAGCAGCAAAAAGAAAAATAGTACTTATACAAGCTAAGAAGTAGATAGAACTTGAAAATATTTTGCCAAGTAAAAGAAGTTCAACTCTGGAGACCACACATTGTATGATTCCATTTACATGAAATGTCAGGAATAGAGAAATCTGTGGGGAGGGAGAAGAGGTTAGCTGAGGTTTGGGGTGGGGGTGAGGGTTGGGGAGGAGATGGAGGGGGACTCAGACTGAGATTTCTTTGTGGGCTACCACTTTACAGTCTGTTTCTGATGACCTGATATTTGGAGTTCCTGTGGATGTGTCTGTTAAGTGTTGTTTTGCCAAAGGAATCTTTCCCTCCATCTCTCTGTGTTTGGGATTTTGCGTTTGAAATTTTATTGTAAGAAATCATTTGAAATCTAGATGCCTTTTATCTTTCTTCAAAGAATTCCAATTTTTTTTTTTTCAAGCCCTTGGGGATGCTGGCAATCAGTAATCATCTTAAGCCAATGCTGGGCTAGCAGTTTTCTGGCTACTAAATAATTTGCCTTGAAGCTGGGTAGCGGACAGTGCTTAGAACTACTTCCACTTCGCCCTAATTCCCAGTGTGTGACCATGGCAGTGCCTGGTCATGTTGGAGCCTGAGGGAAAAAAAGTTAGTGATACTGATCTCATGCCTGTAACAGTTTCATTTTTTTTTCTGCTTATCATGGTTTTTTTTCCCCTTTCTTTTCTTCCTTCTCTTTCTCCTCCTTCTTTTTTGAATTTTTATTTTTTTCAGTGCAAGAGATCAAACCCCAGGGCCTCCCACATGCCAGGCACGATCTCTACTGCTGAACTACACTCCCAGTCTGGATTATTTCCATTTTCAAGAATGCCTCATAAAAGTATTTTATCTGGATTTCTGAGTTTTTTGGTTCCCCATAAGTTTTGTGGGCAAGGTTAAGACTTCAGCCTGGGCAGCTGCCTTGAGATTTTTACTTCCTGAGGAGTCTGAGGAAACGTAGTTGTGGCCTCCCCGATACCTATAAAATCCCACAAGGGTGGCATGCCATCAATTTCCTCCTTTATGAAGCCACTTATAATTAAGTCTCCAAACGTATTTCTTCACTTTCTCCTGAAACTGCCCTAAAGTGACAGTAGCATAGTAAAAAGGTGAAAACCCACACCGACTGTGAGGAGGGAAAAGTAGAAAACAGTGAGTGAGAAGCGTCTGCACATTTTGGGACAACAGCTGATGGGGGAGTGGATCTGATCCACATAGCACAGAGCAGGAAGCTGAGCCTGAACCGAGCCAGGCCAGCCAATAGAATCCCAGAGAATGTGTTGTTCTTATCACCAGTCACCTGGGAGAGAGAGGAAGTTGCGCTGACATGTATGGTCCACTCTCTGAATTTCCTGTGACAACTCAGCGATGGTGAACTCACCAGTGTTTTGTTACAAACTGGTCAGGGGGGACCCAGATCAAATACACCCATGTCAAGGGCATGATTATCTCAAAAACTGAGGATCAAGCTAACAGTGACCGTGCTAAGGCCATAAATCAGATTATTTGGGATGACTAACTTTAAAAAATTCAGGGCCCACACAGACTAAAATTTTTGGAAAATTCCATGAGTGGAGCAGTCCATGAAATACTGTAGGCAACTGGAAACAAATTGTTGCTTCCCACTTCTTGGACTCAACTAGAGGCTATTTGTCTTTTTGTATTTTGGAGAAATCATATCCCTCTCTTAGGAATACTGTTAGTCCTATCCCATGAAAGTAACCAGAAAAAGGCTACATTTGATTGAGGATCTGAATAGCGAAAGGTTTCTTAGAATTGCAGAAGGCTGTAGGCTGTTACTGCATTAGGACTGTATCATTCCAATGATAAACTAATATTAGAAAAGTCAGCCAGCTGCTCTCCTGCCAACTGAAGTTTCTGGCAAAAGCCCCTGGCCACTGCTCAATAGGGACCCCTGGGCTTTGAACTAGAAGAGTACCAAGTGCTGCTCGCCTTTTGAAAGACACTTAACATTCTTAGCATTAAGCATTTATGGAGCAGGCCCAGTAACCAAAGGATGTAAAGCTGTATTAAGACCTGAAATAGCCCATCATATCATGGTGGTGTCAGAGAAGCATTTCGACAAGGAGGGCGATGCTAAAATGGAAATGGTGCATATAGGAGCTACTATTGGGAGTTCCATGGGAGGAATTTGTTGTATTTATGACCAAACTGCCTCTTCCCCTGAGGCCTGACCATGGAGCTTCCCTAGGAAGACTTGCCTACTGTCACTGCTAATGGTCCTCTCCTTTCTACCAATTACCCAAGTGCCTGGCAATCAGCTTGGCTCACAAATGGCGGATCCTGAATCAAGAACAGCATGGAGAACGGTGGCTCTAATCTAGAACATAGAAGAATCATCATGGAAGCTAAGAGTAAGTCAGTCCAATGAGCTGGATAACTAGCAGAGTAGAACTGAATGCAAATTAAAACACACACGGCATATACTTGGGTGCATAATGATTCTTGGACCATTGACAGTGATGTTGGCCTAGCAAATGCATAATGGAAACCTGGACAAGAAAAGGGACTCCTCATGTCCCTGTGAATGAAATCTCTATGGGAAGTCTGAGAGCAAATCCAAGTAGGGCATGGTGATGTGTATCAAAACAACCCTCTGCCAGGGTCTGAGGTGATTGGAGTCAACAAGTTGGTGGCCCAGTTCAACCTTAAAACTTGAAATGAGCAGATACAGGAAACTCAAACCGTGTAGTGGTGGACCAAATGATGACATGTCATTGGTCCCTTGTAATGCTCCAACTCAATAAAAATTGCCTATCTTCCAAGAGAAGCTTAGCATCCATGGTTCTCTGGGAGAGGTATTCCCAGGGGAAAAGTCCATCATACCGGTAGCTAGGAAGTCATGGTGTCCCTTCACCTATTGTTTGGGGAAACTTGAATATTCGCAAGCCATATTCTAGCTTTGTTTCATGCTCAATGGCTAAACCCAAATGCCGCCAATACTATCAAAGGACTGCAGCAGCAATAGCATATATGATATATGACAAGATAGTGTTTTTTCATCTCCCCTGGCTACATTTAATCAGATGAAGATATTTGCTGCACTGCCTACAGCAATGAGCAAAGAAACTTCATGTTCAGTAGGCTTATATTTCTCTTCACCTTCAAAATAAGGGGTTAATGGAAAGTTAGAAGACACAATTAAATTCCTGCTTTTAAAATGAGGGGTAACAAAGGATCAAAGGGTTGGTTTATGAACTTACAACATTGTGTCATGCAATCTAATATGAGGTAAGATTGAAGGTGAGCCTTCATTGGATAATTAGGCAAAATTAATAGTGTAGGAGCTAATAAAAATTATGGTAATTCAGATATTGATAATCAAATGTGTTGGGACATTGTACTAACCCCTCTCTGGATATTATCCCTATGGTGCAGAACTGGCCTGAAGAATGTTTTGACTTATGCAGTGACAGGTTGAATATAATTCTTAATCACTCCACAGATACATGCCATAAAATAAAGATGGCTGCAGATGAGACAGGTCAGTAATGATAAAGTTAGTTCAAAAATATGAGAAAGTTTATGCTGGAATTTTTGGGTAGTTCAGCAATCCATTTAAATCCAAATTAACTGGTTGTTAAAAAGGTATAGAATCTGTACATTTCTGTCTATTTGATTACCTGAAGTTTTATGAGAAATGGTCACTCTCAAACTGTGTGTGATCATCTTATTATAAAAGGGCCTTGATTATGGATCGAGGGTGTAGACTATCAAGGACTGTTTGGAACATGACTATTATCTGAGAAGTGGGGAACACACAAACACACACACACACACGGGTGATGGTGCAAATGTCATAAGGAAGATGGTAAATGATGTGACAAGGTTCTGAAAGAGAAAAAGATTAGGATCAAAGGACTTTCTCCAAAGGTTCACCTCTTTTTCTGCAGCAGCGAGAGAGGCATCCCTTTTAGAAGACAGAGAAGTGTATGCTCATGATAGGATAAGAGGCTGTCTTTTCTCTCTAAAAGCTTATTAGCTGGTAAAGGCTGGGTGGGAGGAGTCAGAATATGAATTGACCAGAGTGCACAAATGTGTACAGTTCGATGGGACTGAAGCAGAAGCTGGCGGCCCTGATGTCTGAGGGTCTCTGTTTTCTCAATGAAAAATGAAAACATGATCGGCTAAGAGAATGCAGTGAGATCTGGAGTAGTCACAGAGGCAAATGCAGAGGGTATAACAGAACTTCTGGGTCACAGTCAGGCCTGGGAGCATGCGCCCTACATGGGCACCGAGCTGCATGGCTGAATGGATTTGTCAAGCAGTGTGGGGCTAACAGGTGTTTCTGTGGTGGATGAAAAAACATGTTAAACGAGTTGGCAAGGGAATGGTTGAAACCTGTGATTCATTTCAAAATACACATTCTATGCAGATTTTTTGTGAATAAATGCATTCAGCACCTCCACAACACAGGCTCTTCTTTCATTCACAGGCCTACAATGAGTCCTCTGTGCTCACAAGATATTCGGACATTTCTGAATGTCTGAAATAAATAATAAACTAAAATCTGACCTTGTTATACATTTCTGAATACAAGTACTGGATTTAAATTTGGGATGAATTGTCAGTTATGTTAGAGAATTAGGAATCTGTCCCAAGAGCTACATTCCTATAATTTACCTGCATTAAAATAATTAGAGGACATCAAACTCTGATAAAATACAATCTGGAACACAAATATTTATTAGAATAAAAATACACTTACAATAACCAACATTAAAATTATTTCACATCACATATTTCCTCTATTAGTTTTTTCAAATGCGTTTAAAGTCTACGCTTTAAATAATTTGCACATTTGTAAACAAATCTGAGATTACCAAAGATGCAATGTATCTATTAGATATTGAACATCAAAATTTAGCAATGGGAACTGATAGTTATATCTGATCATACTAAACATTTCTGTAAATTTTTGGGAAGAGAGGAACAGATTAAAATAGTTCTCTTGAAATGAGGTAAGTTGTATGACATGGTTTTTAGTAGCACATTTCACCAGTGTTGAGAAGAAAACATTTAAAACATTCATGAAAAATTCATGTCAATGTTTGCATCATCTAGCTTTTTAAAAAAAAAAAAAACTACTCAACTTCTTTATTGGAAAAAGAGAGAATTATGTGGTTCTACTTAGGATCTGTGTAAATTCTGTCTTTCTCTCATTTAGAAAAAAAAATGGTACAAACATTCACAAGCCTACTAAAAAGGAAAAAAAATGAAGATCAGAACCAATATTTCAAGCTGCCTTATGGAAAGAAAAGTAAAAACAGAGGTAGATGGTTAAATATTAGTGGTCAAGTTATTTAGGTGACTAATTTTTATCTTGGTATACATTCACCAAGTTTTTACACTGGAAGCCAAAGAGTAAGTAACTTTAAGAGAACAAAGTAATACTTAGCAGAAGTTATTTTCCTTATATCAAAGAAAAGTAATAAAAGTAAACCAGAATTGAGACCCCTGTTAAGGATATGATTGTTTAAAGCACTATGTATGGGTCGTGCGCTTGGTAAAGCAGGAGAAGGAACCTAGCCCCAAGCCTCCTGGGGTATCCAGGCCATGCCCCCAGCCTGCGAGGCCTGTCAGTCAAAGTAGGACTGAAGGGAGCCCCGGCGGCGGATGTCGCAGGTCCAGCAGTGGAAGCCTCCTCCCAGGGAATTGGCATGACGGATGCTGACCTTAATGGTGCTGATACCTGCATTGGAAAAGAAGGCCATGGTCAGGCAGATGGACCAACATGAAGATGCTCCTGCATAACTTGAGCCTAAAGGTGCGGAGGAATTCTGCTTCTAATCATCTGGGCCAGCCCAACCCCAAATGGTCTTTTCTCTTTCCATTTTCTTTCCACCAGCCCTATTTTACCTCATCTATTCCAGAACTTATGGAAAATCGCCTCCAAAAAGTCAGCAGAGACTCTGAAGTTTCATTCTATGGACTGTTCACCAGTCAACAGACTAGATGAGCAGAGATCCCTAACACATGTCCCAAAATGACAACTCATAGAATTCCAAGGCCTTTTAGAATTATACTTCACCTTGTCACACTGTTTCTAATTTTACCATGGTGATCTTGTAGAAAAAGCATAATTTAGCCAACCTGAAAAATCGACTTTACATAGTCACATACAAGTAAGGAGAACATAACTGATACAGATTCGCTTTGTCAGGCCACACTGAGGAAACAACAGAAAAGGGGTTTTATCTTGGCATGTGGGCTGAATGGCCATCTGGGTACCAAGCCTAATCAGGCCACTAGTTTAATCCGGCACTGTCTGTAATGACATGACCTTGATGTGCACGGTCCGCTTCACCAATGAGATTTAGAAGAATCGTGCTGGACAGAGTAAGATTTTTAAAAAAGGCAGTCTGTTCTCTTCCCTCATTTCCTGAGAGGACACATAAGCTACAGAACCAGTATGAGGCCCACTGGTGAGTCAGGGAGGAGGGAGGCTGGGTTTGTGATTTCTGAAGAATGAGCAAGGTTGGGGTCTGTGGAAGGGGGGCCCTGGGTGTGGGGGGAGTGGGGTTTTAAACACCAGCACAGGTTTCCTGCCAGAATGACCTGCCTGTCCTACTCCGAGGGCCACAGCCAGCCTCACCCTGAATCAGAGGGCACGAGGGGATGTGATGTGTTTGCTTTACCAACTTCCCTATATCTACAGACTTGAATTACTAAAAGTAATATCAGAAATCAGATATTTGGTAATGTGTACTACTTTCCATTAAGAACCAACAGAATCATCGCTTCTCGGCCTTTTGGCTAAGATCAAATGAAGAAACAACAGAATCTTAATAGATAAATAAACTGAACCCAAACAATTTTGTTACTTAATGAAAGCCAGAAGAAAAAACTGTGGTATAGCACTAGGGGTCAAATCATTAGTTTCTGTTCCATCTAAAGCTGATAAGTCAATCTTTTTAAACTGGTACTACGTTAAGGAGGGGTGGTTAAAGGGGCAAATACTTTCTTCTGAGCTGTATACCTGAAATATAAGACAATATTAAAATGACTCAATGTCAACAAATACACTGCCTTATTGAGTGCCTTAACTGACACTCAGGGTAGGTCAAATATGTTAAAAGTGATACTCTACATAACAGCTTATATGAAAATCCTTTCTGCTGGGGATTTAGCTCAGTGGTTCCGGGGCTGCTGTGCAGGTGCAAGGTCCTGAGTTCGACCCTCGGTACAAAAAAAAAAAAAAAGAAAATTCTTTCCTTCAACATTTTTCTCAAACATATAGTGGACCCTTGACTTATGAACTCAATTTGTTTGTGAGGGCTGGCTGTAACTCAAGTTGGTCAACTGACGGCTCAGCTCCTCTACACAGCCTTCAAAGTCTCTCTCCTGTACACAGGCAGATCTCAGTGTCCTCAGAGAGACACTGGCCTGGGATTTCTCAGTGAACCCCACGCAGGAAAGGATGCTCTGATGTTCCTTCCAGAACTCTGTGAGGGTTAAATCTGTATCTGAGACCATCTGGAAGCACAAGCGGCCGGCATTCAAGTCATAACTCAATACTGTGCTCCTAAGTTAAAACTAAAATTCTGGTCATAACCCAAGTTGTTTGTATGTCAGGCTGGTTGTAACTTGAGGGTCCACTATATTAGAATCATTGGTCTGAATTTTGGACATCAAGGTTATCAAGCTCCCCTCAAGGAAAATACAGTCCCACTCTTTAGTTCAAAGCTGAGTGATCTACTGCATTTCAGTACTTTGTCACATACCCAAGTCACTTCTGTATCTGCACCCTTGCCAGCCTTTTACAATACTTGATGACAATTCACAGTTCCTTATTGGAGGAATAGAAATTGAATGAGGTAAACCATTTGTCAGAGTTACATGGTTTTTCTTTAGTTCTAGCTGAGCGTTTCCGCATGGGACAACATGCTTCACTCCTCATACATACCCAGCTTCTCGAACATCTTTTGGGTCGGGACTTCATTGGCGTCCACCATGACGCGTTTCTCATCCAACATGAGGACATTCATGGAAAGCCATTTGGACGACATCCAGAGTGGGTGATCTGAAAGCACCAACAACCGTTAAATCCTGTCTGCCGTCATTCTGCTTAGAGGATAAGAACTCAACAGCTCCAGGTTTGGTAGTTCATTTTCTGGGAACAACGCATCTAGAAATGTTACAAATCAATCCATGCCCATCACACATTTGGATGTCATCCTGTCTTCTTTATGAATTCATATCTTGTTTTACGTGAGGTTGTTTGTCTTCTCACTTTCATTTTCTATGGAAGGAAGAGCTGCAAACACAGGTCCCAGTCTTGTTCTAGAAATCACCGTCACCACTTTACTCTGCTTTACTCCTTACTGGGGAAACATTTTCTCTAACTGGCTAAGATTCAGGTTGCTCTCTATAGGTGAAAGATCCTTGGTCACTGAAGTAATCACTTCAGACTGTAAGTATTGAAAAGTAAACCTACCATCTGGGATAGTCGGGGTTGGAGGATTAACTATGGTCCATCCAGCTTTCTTGAAAAGATCAATCTACAAGACAAAAATAACCAAAGAGGGCTTAAATCCATAATTACTTCGCCTATTCTTGTAGGGCAGTGGCTCCATTCTGCCCTGAACAGTAGAACTGCCCAAAGGGAGCCTGACCCATTAGGGAGGGCAGGCGGGGCTCATCTTTTTTAGCTGCAGTTGTAAATTATGAGACAGTATCAGTTTATTCAACAGAAATACCTCCATATGCACAAACTCTGTGTTTTGACAATAGTAAGCAGCTGAAGTCACTGTCTGACAATTATCACAGCAACTGCATCTATTTCTGGGTGTTGGACATCTTGTAATAAACACTCCATAAACAATCCAATGCTCAATCACGATACTGTTGAACACTGCTAAATTTGTCATCCAGAACCACTAGGAACCACAGAAGTGCTTAAAATAGAGTGACAATTGCTTTTGTTGCTAGGCTTTACTGCTTTTCCGCTGCTCCAGGAGCTCTCTTACCTGGTGACATGGTCGGTCAGGGTTGGAAAGCACAAGACCAGGCCCAATGATGTTGAAGGTGGCATCAATGTGCATTGGGTTGGGATCTTTAAAGGAAATGATATGTACTCTGTAGTCTGGAGCGAGGTGCCTACGCATCCATTCAATGCCCAGGTAATTTGTCACCTGAAAATAAAAAGAAGACACATAGCCTACAAAGACTCGGTTTTATGTTTTGAAAACCACATACATACAGAATGAAAATATTTTAATTTAGAAATAAAGAGCATGCAAATACAGCGTGGAATTTCAGGGCCAGCCTTTACTGACCTGGCTTCTCTGTGCAAAAATATCTCTTCCGGCTCGAATGAAGTCAGCAGCATCAAAGCAGGGCTCAAACTCAGTGGTCACGAACTTTCCTTGAGCAGCCAGTTTGTGTCTGTCTTCCACACTGTGGATGGGATAACCCTAACCGGAAGAAGAATGAACACACGTGAAGCGTGGGCTTCCTGTGGAGCTCATTCGTGAGGGTGCACCTTACTATAAACAAACCCGCACAATGCTATCATTTCCCCAGTGCTGCTACTCTGTTCTAGGCTAAAACATACATAGGGAAGGCATAGGTCCATGATAGGCAAACCACAACAATAAAACCACCACAAAACCAAAAATTCAGACACTGGGCATGACAGCAATTTCCTGCTACTTAGAAATAAGTGGCACAGGGCAGTATCCAATTCTGAAAATAGCCCATGATCCACACATGGATTTTCAGCGCTGTCCAGGACATGGAGAGGAATCAGGGCGAAGTCACTCTGTTCTTTTAGAAAAGGGATTTGGTCCTGAGATTGACTGATGCTGTGGAATGGGAGCTCCTGCTTCCACACCAAACTAGGATGTGGTGTAATTAATTATTTATTTCTGTCTTTGAACCCCTAGAAGAAATTTGGGGTTGCCCCTTGGTACCCGTGGGGCAAGTGATACAAAGATACTGAAACCTGTGGCTGTTCAAGTCCATGATATAAAAGTGTAGTGTTTGCATACAGTCTATGTATATCCCCTGTGCTTTCAATCATGTCTGGATTACTCACTACACACAGCAAGGGAAGAGCTATGCGAACAGCACTGACTGCATCGTGCAGGGGTAATGACAAGGGAACCATCTGCACATGCCCCATGCATGCACCATTTTCAAAAAAACTGTTTGACTTGAATCCACAGAAGCAGAATCTGCAGCTACAGAAGGCTGGCTGTACATTTCATTTTGCTGTGAATCTGGCCTATAGACCAGGTTCTTCTAGAAGAAAGGAAGGGACTTCAGCCTAGTGATTCTTCTGGTCCCACCAATGAATAGCAGTCTCCCCCGAGGCCAAGTCTCAGGTAAGGAAATGAAGCTACACCCGCTAGGGTGATTGTGAAGGATAAACATGATCGAGGATATAAATAGAGCAAAGCCTGGGAACCAACACCAAATAAATGTCACCTAGTATTATCACTATTATTATCACCAGATCACTTACTCCTATTTTCATTCTAAAGTAGGTGATATCTCTCTCAGCTTGTGGAATGGGGAACCCAGGCAGGGAGTGTGTCTCACTCTTGTGGATTGTTTATAAGCTCGCCTGTAACTAGGGCCTTACCTTGTCATAGAGCTCATCCACCATCATGGGCTTGGGAGCAGTGGTCCATTTGGCCCCACGGTGGAAGTAGTCTTTGATAAGCGAGCGGTATGCTCTGTACTCAAAGAACCGTGAGCGCCACGCCATGGGGGCCTCGATGATCTCGTTTCCCACAACAATCAAGATGTCCCGAGGCATCGCGCTGTACAAACCTGTCAGCCCCGGACATTTTTAGTCGAAAGCAAGATCAAATTAGGTGCTTTAAAAAAAATGTTTCTTTGTACCATTAACTAACCAACTACCAATCCTAATCATTTCCCTACAAATCAGACACCTGCACAGCTACCTCAGTTATGCAAATTTCCAAGTCAGGAAGGTCTATGCAATATGTTCTAACTGGTTTTTTGTTTTGTCTTGGGTAAAATAATTACCAGAATGCTGTAGATGTATCTATGGACTTAATTATATAAAATGGAGAAAAGTGGAATGATACATATTAGAAAGTTAACACAAATTTGGTGCAGGGCAGGGAAGCCAAGCAAAAAACAAAACCAAAAAACCCCAAATATGAAGCAATAAAGTGGTTCTTCACAGAGATGTTGAATGAACCACCAAGGTGACTCATTGGTTGGTTCCTTTTTTGCTATTCCAAACCAGAATTCTTAAAGCACTATCAGCCTCACAAGATAAAACTGGGCTACAGATCATTCTGGAGCTATGAATTACAGAGCCCAAGCACAAAAACAGTCATGCAGTGATGCCAATTAGAAAGAAAACAGGAATGTTTTACAGTGGACCCTTGACTTACGAACTCGATTTGTTTGAGAGGGCTAGCTGTAACTCAAGTTGGTTGATTGAAGGCTCAGGCTCCTCTACACAGCCTTCAGAGACTCTCTCCTATACACAGGCAGATCTCAGTGTCCTTAGAGAGACACTGGCCCAGGATTTCTCCATTAACCCCACACAGGAAAGGATGCTGTCATGTTCCTTCCAGAGCTTTTTAAGGGTCAAATCTGATCTGAGACCATCTGGAGCCACAAGCGACCGGCATATGAGTCAAAACTCAAGACTTTGCTCCTAAGTTAAACCTAAAATTCAGGTTGTAACCCAAGTTGTTCGTATGTCAGACCAGTCATAACTCAAGGGTCCACTGTACTCTCCTTTCACTTCTGTTCTTGAGGAAATTTAAACAAAAGTCATTCTCCTTGCTGGAGGAGGTAGCCACAAAGTCCAGGGAAAACTGCTTCTTTCAAGGCAACTCTAAATAGAGTGTAGCGTGCAATCCTAATCGTATACAAATGAACCAAAATGTTCCTAAATAATCTCTAAAGTCTTGAGGAATTGGCAAAACCAAGGATCTCCCCCCAAATTCTCAGACCTTTCTCTCCACACATTTAAGAAAGACACTGAAAACCAAGGCATTGGCAGATGAGTTGGCAGCAGCACTCACCCGTAGACTCAAAATCAGGAGTTTTATACTTAAATGACCAGTCAATGGGGTCGGGTCTCCTCACTATCACTCCTTCCATCTTTAAAATATTGCACATTTCTTCAATTTCAGCAACAGCCTTTTCCAAGTGATCTTTGGGAAAATATTGGCCTCCGTACTTTTGGTAAAACGGCCAGTACTTTTCATATGTGTTGGCCTAGAAGCAGAAGAAAGAAAACAAAGTAATTATGGAAGAAACATTCAACTTCCGGTAGGCATGTCGGTGGTGGGTGACTACACACAGAATGGCATCAAGACTGGAGCCACATTGTACACTGCTGATCCCCTGCATGGAGCACCTGGTCCCCTGGCAGGTTCTCAGTATTTACAGAAGGAAGAGCTCTAAATTGTCTTGGTAGTTTGAGGCTTTTTGATCCTCTTCCTCAGATCTCATGCTCAACCACTAACAGCTTCTCTGCCTCCTCACAGGCATCGAGTCCTCTTGGCTGCCCTTCAGAGGGAAAACAGGACCCAGGCGCTCCAGTTAGAAAGTCTTAACAAAATTAAACAAGAGAACAGATGGAAGAGCGTAAGAGAATAAAAACACCAGCCCTGAGCTGCAATGGTGGTCGAGCTGCCATTCCACAGCACCTCAAGACATTTTGTAGGGGAAAAGATATTTTGCTGTGTTTAACATTAAGGGTTAAGACAAAGGAACGTTAATGCTCCTCTGGGGGTTCACTGTGGATTTTCCCACCCAACAGAGCTTGGTCTTGGCCAAATGTGCAGCTGTGCAGGGCGGGCTCTGGTACCTGTCTCTGAGTCTCACACCAAAGACATCTGTTCTCTCCACCCACCCAAGCTCGCTCCTCAATCAGGTCCTTTTGTCAAAGGAGGAAATATTTGGTAGGCGAATTCACATTATTTTTAGTGGCTGAAAAAAGCTTAACACGGAGAAGGTTCTCATCGGGTTAATGTAAAAATGCAAAAATCCAGACTCTCGATGTATCTAAGTTCTCAGCCAATTGAAAGAAAGACTTTGAGACACGTATGTACACAACGCATCCTACAATCTTCCAAGACAGAGAAAGCAGAACTCCAGAGACTAGGGAGAAGCCTTGGGCCTTTGTCAGAAGCTTGGTAAAGTCATGTACAGTTACATACTTTTAGTTGAAAGTGTGATCAAAGCAGATACTTTTAAAAATCATTTTTCTGTATCATTAACTAATCGCCTCCCAAGCCTGATCATTTCCCTACAAATCAAGACACCTGCAGGTAGTGGGAAGTACTTGAAAGAACCGGGTAATGGCTTATGTGTGATGGAGTGGGTCTACCTTAGCTAGATATTCTGCTACCCTTGACCATCCTATCCAGGAGACAGGGCGAGGACTCATGTGCCCATTACATATGCAAGGAAAGAGCTTGGGAAGCCCAGCGCTCACTTACTGCCTGGACACGCGGGACAAGAACTCCAGGGCTCCGATTCTCGCTCTTAACAGTGCTCCGAATCTATGAAGGCATTTGGGTATGTTCTACTGGTCTGAACATTTTTAACTTCATATATAAGAACTTTTACAACTGAAATGGGTTATTATGGCTCATATTGTTCCCAGTGGTTTTTGCCCATCATGACTGGAGTAGGTGTTTAGATATCTAGCTCTTTAATCTCAAAGACAATATTTCTCCAGGTTTGGGTCTCTACTTCCATTTTTACCCCAGTCTGGTAAATATCAGGTGCACGAATTTAGACTCGCCTCTTGCTAGTTCCAAATCTAGGTTCACTGGATCTCAGCCTGGAGGACAGGGAGGGAATAAGCCGAAAACAGATCTCTAGAAATCATGAAGGCTGCTCATGAATCTCTAAGAAAAGGGGTTGGTAAACTAAGGCCCACGGCCATATGTGGGCCACGCCTGGTTTTGTAAATAAAGTTTTACAGGCACACAAGCACACTCATTTGTTTATGCAGTGCCTGTTACTGCTTTTGCACTACAAAGGCAGAATTGGTGATGGGTAGTTGCAACACAAACTTGGGTTCTGAAAAGCCTGAATTATCTATTATCTGGCTCTGTGCAGAGAATGTTCACTGAGCCCTGTCCAGAGTCACTAAATAGTTCCTTTATTTTTGAAGATCTCTAGTCCAATAACAGGCTGAATTTTTGAACTATGAAAAATATCATCAGCGTTAAACGTCTGAATTAAGGCAAAAACAAACTCCTAGAGATTTCTGCAACAGCAACCTAAGAGTGAGGATAATGACTCTTTGTAGTCTTCTCTGCCACATCCTGGTACTACTTATCCATTCTCCACTTCCCGCTTCTCATGCCAGGCACATCTCCTACCCTTCTCTAAGGGACAAGAGGCCTTTGATGATTTAACACCGAGTTGCAGCTGACGCTCGGTTATGCTGTCTTGCCGGACTCCTTCCAAATTATCCTGTGTGACTATTTGTGCAGAGTAAAGCCTGCAAAGTTTCCTGGGAGAAAAAAATTATTTGAACAAGTGTGAATTTGTCTAGATTATAGTCTGGCAAATGTTGGACAAGGTCCAAATGATTAGGGCAAATTACACTTTTTAAAAGCCAGTTGGAAATTGTTGACACTTCCTTTGTAACCCTGCTGAGGGAGGTAGCAGTTATTTACCAAGTGTCTGCAAGATAGCAAACACTGTATTAGATGCTCAGTGTATGATGTTTCTAAAAATCTGCTGCAGATTATGGCTGCATTCCTGGAAAACTTCACAGTCCTACAGGGCCTATGATCATTGGGGGGAGGTTGCTTGAAACCAAGAAATAGCAATAGAAACTAACTTTTTATTTATCCAGCAATAAACTTATGCTACATCAACCTTACTTAATTTTAAATTTTCTAAATGGTCCTCTATCAGAGCTTTATTTAAAGAAATACAAAAGCAAAACCAAAAAGCAAAAGTATGTTTTGCAGAATAAAAAGCCATCTGGGTTTTTAAAAATTGTGCTTCCTATCATGTTCTTTACCCTTTCCTTAAAATTTCTCTAGCATTTATATTTTCCAGGATATCTTATGCTCTCATGGTCTATAAACAGCTTAGTACATTATTTTATCTCTTATTGTTCTCAAGCTGATTAATGTATCTGTGTCATTCTTTTTGCCTTCTAGGGGTCCTGCATACTTCTGATTTATTTTCTTCTCCCTTAATACCTAGCTGAGCCTGTCATATAGAACAGAAATAGCCAGAAAAATGAATGACATAAATACTGTCAATGGTACTAATATCTACAACCATTATACTCCATTGCACATTCAGAAATTAATTGGCAAACTGATATCCATACAACTATAGTGAGATGTAGCTCAACATGTAACCTTTTACCTTCAACTTTAATCTGATTAGGTAGTTAGCAAACTTCTTAATATCTTCAGAAAATTTGTGAAATCTTTCACAAGGTCAAAGAGCTGATTAACCAAGACTAGCTATCAAGCTTTTGTCAAATACCTAATTGAATCTCAGTCTCCTGACTGGAGCATGATACGCTTTCCACAAGCTCATGAAGTTACAAAGTCTAAAGTCATAAAGTGAGTGACAAAGAACTCAAAATAATGTCTGAGAATTCTGAGTCCATGAGATCACATGGTATGAAAGTCAATAAATATAAAGACAAGTAAAAAGATAAACTACAGCCTGACTTTGAACTTTAATTTTACCCAATTAAAACGGTTAGGGGATGGAGCAACTTCTTTTCCAGGCCTTTTGAAAACATATGCATGGTATGTCAATTATTCTGCTCCTCAAATTTCAAATATCAGAACCAAGGGCAGTTTCAGAACAATTAGAAGAAATTATTTTTCCCATTACCCTTTCTTCTGGCCTAATTGAAGAACCATTCCCGCCAGGAGACTTTCTAACTATCCAATACTTGATGACTTTTTCCTAGCTCTCCTGGTACCTCACCTGCCTGGCCAGCTGGTTAGCATAAGACACCTTGTGTGGTTTCGGTGCAAGCACTGGAAGGGAGTTCTCTGTTAATGCCTACAGAGCCCTGTTACACGGACACAGTATTTCTGATGGTGATGATGACACTGCTGTTAAAAATGTACTTCCGCAATCTACGGTAGAAGTGAAAAAGTAAATATGCAAGAGGAACTTACACACACTGAAGACATATTTATAATATTAATGGGCTCTTGGGCTTTGTCTAAAAGGAGGAAGATGCTCCCTTGGACACGGGACCTTTTTGCAGTTCACCACTGCACACGAGCCCATAGGCTGCTGTGGTCCTGAGAATACTGCAGATGCAGAATCCTAAGAGTTTCTTTAAAAGGGAGTCTGCTGAGCACCGAGGTGGGATGTTGGCGGGAGAGCAGCTCAGCCCAGAATGAGCACCTGCTAACCCACCAGATGAGCATGTCTGAGGTGATGTAGATTGAAAGGGGGGTGTGGACGTGCATCCCAGAGCAGCTTGTGATGAATCCTGGACACCATGGGACTTCATCCTACATGCGGGGAGGTAGTGAAGCAGAGGAGAGATGGGAGCAGGATGGGTAACTGGATCAAACCTGGGTCTTAAACCAAATCCCTGATTATAGCTGGAATCCAGTCCAGAGGGGAGTGTGAACAAGGAAGCCAGAGGAGCTAAGTGTACCTGTCCCAGAGCAGATGAGCCCCAACCCCGGGCAGAGGCAGAGGCATTGGGGCAAGATCCACTGAGAAAAGCCTCGGAGACCTTGCAGGACATGACTGAAGGAGAAGTCAAAGATGACTGGTGTTTAACCTTGAATAAATGGGAATGATGGGTTTAAAAGGAAGGGAGAAGGCTCTGGGTTAGCAGGGTGGCTGACACCTAAACTGTAGCTGTGCCCAGTGAGGTCCTGGGTGACTCCTACGGAGTCTCAAGTGCTGATCTAGACGGAGCTCAGGAGACAGAGGAGGAGGAAGCCAGGACCGGCAGAAGGGCTAAGAGAAGGCACCCAGAGGGGACATTACAGGATGCAGCAAGACAAGTGAGGAGCTGGGAAGAATACTGCCCCTGGGAAAGGGGTCTCAGAATCCTGGGGATGTTTCAGGAAGGAATGAACTCGGGTAAATAGTGTCCAAAACCACAGAGGGGCCAGGCAAGGTAGCTGAAAGCAGCCCACACCCAGACTCAGGGACAGCGCTTTACCTTCACCTCCACCGTGAATGGTGGCACACAGGCGTTTTCCGCTCTGCCCACGATCACTTCCTCCAAAGGGTCCCACTCGTTGTAGGAGGAGACCGGGCAGTCCTTGGGCAGAGGTTCAGTGGCCTTGTCATCAGCCGCACAGGATTTCCGGGAGGAAGCTGGGGCTGCCTGGGTGCTCTGGAAAGTTCGCTGCACCCACCCTGTCAGGGTTCTTCCAAGCTTCAAGAACAAAAGAGCATCACTGCCTTTTAGGAGACTGTAACCAAGGTGATAAAGGTGCTGGGTGAACAGGGATTGTGGGTGGTTTTGTGTGCAACCTTGTTTATCCATAAATGCTGTTGATCGATTTCGTCCCTAGCAATACAGTCCCCCCCTTCACATCTCAGAATGGGTTTCTGGGGGGCGATGGGGACCAAGCCACCCCCTCTCCTGAAAGTGCCAGTCCTTCCCCTCCCAGGAAGCTGCCCCCAGAGGTCCAGCTGGGGGAGGGGCCCCCTTTCCCTTTCCAAAGTCACCAATATTAGGGGTTTCCCCCAAATAACCATTTGGAAGGAACCTGATCTTTCAGAATAATCAGCTGCAAACGTAAACACCTTTCACCTCTGACAACACCGCTTCACCCTGGGCATTCACCTGCCATCTGCCCCATTTTACCTCAGCCAAGGCACCGATGTAAACTAAGAAGGAGATTTAAGAATTTTAAAAGGCCTTTCAAACGCAGGCCCTATAAAATCTAGAGCAGCGAGAGCCGCCCCATCTGCCCCCCCTGGGCAAACCCGACCCCCAATCTCCAGCTCCCGCTTGATAGGAAGGGGCAGGAGGGGCGCTGGGGTGGGGACCAGGGGGACAGCGGAGTCACTGTTCCCAGCGGGCGGGGTGGGGCCCCTGCCAAGCTTCTCCGAGGCACGGTCTTCGGGGCAGGGCCCGGAGGAGCCTTGGGGACACCCGCGTGGCTCTCCATCCCGGTTCCACGTAGCCCCTCCGCCCACCTAAGCCCCCCACCTCTGTGCCCGTGCAGGGCCCTGAACCCCAATAATGCCGCCTGTGTGCTAAGCGGTCCCTGACGTCCCCACTCTGGGCAGAGCACCGAGCTCTGGCCGTGGGGACTCGCGGGTCGCGCGGCCCCCGGGTGTGGCACGCGTGTCCGCCCTCCCCAGCCTCGGGGCCCCACTCGGGCGGCCGGCGAGTGCTCCTGTCGCACGCACCCGAGACCCGAGATAGTGCAGGGCCTCAGCGCCGCGGCTCCCGCCTCGCAGACACCGCACACGCAGCATCCCGGCCGTCGGTCCGCGTTCGTCCGCCGCCCTGGAGCTCCGCGCGTGGGTGTGCGCGCCTCGCCGCTCGCACCGCCTTTTGTAGCGCCAGCCCCTTCCCGCCCCTCCCCGCCCCCCGCCGCGCAGCTCCAGGCTCCCGGGGCGGGGACTCCGGGCGCCGCTCCCCACGGGTCCTGCTGGAGCTGGGAGAGGGGTGAGGGGCGCTCCCGCCCAGCAAAATTACAGTTAGCCACCCCTGTGGCGCTAAGTGCACATTTTAAGTTTAAGCGTGTAGGACAGGCGTGGTGGACCATGGCTGAAATCCCAGCACTCTGGAGGCTGAGGCAGAAGGATGAGCCTCCAGTTCGAGGCCAGCCTAGGCTACATTGCGAGACCCTGACTCAACACAAAACAAACAAGTGAAAAGTTGCTTTGTAAACTGGCAATAAATCAAAATAATTTAAATGTGCAAAGCGTGAGTGCAATTTTAGATTTAAACTCACTGGGGTGCACTGACCCGGTGCTCCATCTTAAGAGTGAACGCAAGGACTTAAATAGGAGCTGGCTTTCGGGCGACTCCGGGTTTGAGACAGGAGGGGAGAAGTCTGGAACTCGGGCCACCTGTCCCCTGCCTGCCACCAGCCTCCTGGGTGACTTGGACACTTGTCCTTTCTCATGGCCCTTGGCTGAGAAACTCAATCCTGAAAGTGGAGAGGGATGTGGGTTAGGAGTACTGGAGAGCTACAGACAGTGCCTTTCCTTCTATATCACACACTACACGGCTTGTTTCAACTCGATCAGGGTGCTTCTCGTAGAGCAAAATCTTAGAGCCCTCAACCCTGTATGTAATCCTAGCACTCTTGGAGGCGGAGGCAGGAGGATCCCAAGTTTCAGCCCAGCCTGGGCAACTTAGCGACTCAGTGAGACCTTATCTCAAAATTTAAAAAAATAAAATAAAAGGGCTAGGGATGTAGCTCAATGTGAAAGGCCTGGGTTCAATCCTTAGTACTGGGGGAAAAAATCGTAATGGCTGTGGACTTGTACAAAAGTAGAGAACTCCATTAACATTTAACTTCCTAACTGGGGAAAGGACATGAGAGCTGAGTATTTCATTTGTGAACTATGTGACTATCCGTTGTCAATGAGCTGTCTCTCTGCTACCCTGTCTCCCCCGCGGGCATGGAGGAGGCACCAGACTGCAGCGCCCACGGGAGAGCTGGCTCGGTCTTGGCCCGCTGTGAGCCGTGCTGTGTCTGCCGAGGTGTCTCTGCAGGGTGAGAGCAGGTAGGTGCCTTTGTGCTCTGGCGCGTGGCTGGGGGCCCTGAGTTCACGCCAAGGAGCCAGGGGTTACTGCCCCAGCAGTAAGGAGGCCCCAGGAAGGCCCTTGGCTCGGGAGGGAAGCCTGAGCCTAGGCGTGGATCTTAGCTCTGCGGCCTACGCACGTGACCAGGAAACGAGTCCCTCGCCCTTGCTGATGGAGGTTCTCACTTCCAGGGAAGCCCTGGAGAAATCTCCGACAGTTTTCAAAGTCGAAAGGACATCTTCTCGCAACAGTATAATGCACCTTCCTCTGGCTCTAACGCTGTCTGAGCGCTTAGGGTAGCAGGATACGCAAGCTCCTCCACACAGGGATTGGGGAAGGGAAGGGCGTATAGCAAGGCCTCGCTGTGCCCTTTACCTTCTCTGTCTCCGATCTGAGGACGCCCTCACGTCGTCCACTGAAGATGTTTTAGTTTGGCAGAGGTAAGTGGGAGTGTGTGGGAAAGGCTAGATTGCTTTTTTTTTGGTACCAGGGATCGAAAGGGCTAGATTGTTATTAAGTAGCTCCTTAGGGCCAGCAGCCGCCCTTGTCTCTTGGAACCCAGCAGACACTTTTTTGGTCAGAGCCCCAAACCAGTCTTGCTGCTCCAAAAGCAAATCAAATAATCCCGCCACCTTTTCCCTTCTCTTTTATTTACTTTCGTTCTTGAAAAAAGACTTTTGTAACAATTTTTTGGAATGTTCTTACCAATTGAAAGCGCAATTCTTTGTGCTGAGTTGTTTGTTGAATACTGGGCCAGCTCTGCAGCGAATCTGTATCATTGCTGGGCAGTTTCTTGCTCTTTAGTTGCTGCCTTATTCAGAGGAAGCAAAATAGAGAGTTATCGCCTGCCTTCCTTCCCTCATTGTAACAGATAACATCAATAACTTTGATTGAACCAATAACTTTAGGAGCTTGGTGGTTTCATACTGAATGGCTACACATATTCCAGCCCAGTTGTAGTATGCTGCTGTAGATTAATTAAATGATATAATTCAGGATAGACAAAGGCGTAAAATGATAATGAATAGAAAACACACCAGATGCTTGGGAAAACATTTTGCTTTTTCAGTTTCTCCTTTTCACTGTTGATTTGGAGCTATAACCATTTCTACCTGATTCCAACCAACAAAATTCAGAGTTTTTAAAATTTTGTTTTGGTTTGGTTTTTGGTACCGGAGATCAAACTCGGATCCTTGCACTTGCACAGCAGGCGGCGAAACCACTGAGCTAAATCCCCGGCCCCAAAATTCAGAGTTTTTGAAATGTGTCCTGAGATTAAAACAAAATAAGAACCAGTAAAGACATTGGTCAACAAAATGAACAACAGAGCTTGTTGTGAGAAATTCATTGTTTCATTACGATGGCTGACATTAGCACCCAGGCTTAGGGAGCAGATGTACAAGGTTGTGTTCCTAGAACTCAGAGGTACAAATATCCTGAGAAGTGATACACACATACACACACATACACACATGCAGGGTGAGATAAGCTATCTGCAGAAGTCTCCCATTCTAGTGTCAGGGACATTATATTCTCGAGTTGAGATGGTATTGCTCAAGTTCAAACAGGTGATTAACATATATTCTCATGACTAGAATGTACATAAATAAAGCTGCATTTTTAAAAAGAGTATTATTTGGACTGCATTAATAAAATATCTCTGGAATGGTAGACCAGATATCGAGAACGTATGTCCGCCTGGGTAGGTTGCTTGGCTGGCTGGAGGACTGGCATGATAGATTTTTTTTTCCCTTTAAGTCCTATTGCACCTTTGAATTTTGAACACATGAATGAGTTGCCTAATAAACAGACAAAAATATATATTTAGAAGACTGCATTGTGGAGGTGTGCCTGCGCACATGGAGTGTTGTTAAAGGCAGCCCGAGTATGCACGTGTCAGTGTCTGTTCATCCTGCTTTAAGGATGGAGTTCGAAAACTCTGGCTCCTGGGAAAAGGAAACCTATGAGGACCAGAATAATTCCCTGGCTTTTGATGAAATCTGACTTGAGACTGTTCACTTCCTTCAACTTCTGGGGTCACCCACAACCTTGTCATTCCTGGACCCTTGACAGAGGTGGGGGTAGGGGAAGGGGTGACCTTGTAGGCTGAGACAGTAGGGCCCCTGTTGCAAAGCACTGGACAAGCATTCTTTTTTCTTTTTTTTTTTTGTGGTACCGGGGATCAAACTCGAGACCTTGCGCTTGTCAGGCAGGCACCAGAATCACTGAGCTAAATCTCCAGCCCTATGAGCATTCTAACTTCTGTCTCAGCATCGGGTGAGTTCGGTGGATGGGGCTCAGACCTTGCTGGCAAGTACTGTATATCCGTCTTCTTAGCATTCTCTTTCCTGCCTGCCTACCCAAATCCGGGCACGTGATGAAGATACTTTGGGACCCGAAATGCTGCAGGACTGGCTTTTCTGACAGTGTCCTGTGTTCTTGTGGCTCACAGCATACCCAGCACCCTAGAATTTCTTGCTGTGGCCCTCTGGAGGAGGGGAGCCCATTTTGTGCGCACGCGCGCGCGCACACACACACACACACACACACACACACTCTCTCTTGTGTGTTCCAGCACAGGGCTCGAATCAGTCCTTGTTCTGTGCTGCTCTGAAAGCCCAGATCTCCCTCCTCTGACATAGTGCAGTCTTTGATTTCAGATGAGTTGCAAACTCTCGTTCAGCCAACCTGTACCCTGTCTCCCTACAAATCCTTGTAGGATTTTTATTAGCTCTGAACAGCTGTGTTTCTCCTGCTCAGCATCTTCTAATGAAGGGGATTCTCTCATCAGAAGGCAACTATGAAACAGTAGCTCCAGTAAAGTTAAAGCTCAGATTTCCCCAAGTATTTAAAATAGCCTCAGCCTAAGTCACCACACAAGTGATCCAGCTTCAAGAAAGTGGGAAGAATCACCTGCAGCCCGAGGCAAGGGGCCGTTTTACTTCCTTCGCTTTGGACTGCAGACTCCTCCCCACCCCCTGAATTCGAAAGCAGTAAGCCCTATTCTCCTTTTTTAAGGTTCTGATTAAACTTGAAGGCAAAGGTCAACCCACTGGGTAACGTCTTAATATCAGGGTGTGCAGCAGGCAATTTTGTTCATGGAAAAACAACAGCATTTGTTTCTGTCTTACTTCAGTCTTTGGGAAAGATAATGACTTTACTGAGATACAATTTGCATAGCATGAAGTTCACCCTTTTCAAAAATACACAATGCAGTGTTTTTTTGATGTATTCACAGACTTGTGCGTCATCACTGCCATCTAATTTCAGAACATTTCATCATCCCCTCCAGCCCCCCAAAAACCTCTACCCATCAGCAGACACAGTACCTGTCCCCAGGCCCTGCTCATTTACTTTAAGTCTATTAACTGAGTGATTCTTATCAATGGAACCATGCAATATGTGGCTTTTTTGTCTGGCTTCTTTCACTTACCAAGTTTTTAATGTTCGCTCACATTACAATATGAATTGATACTGTATTTGTATATATGTTCATACATTGATACTGTATTCATATATATGAATATATATCATTGCATGGAAATAACAAACTTTATTTTCCAGTTGATGGACATTTGTTGTGTCTGCATTTTGACTACTGTGAATAATGCTGTTATGAATATTGCTGTACATGTTTTTGTGTGGATGTAGGCTTCCATTTTCTAGCATATATGCCTAGGAACAGAATTGCTGCATCATATGGCAACTCCATGTTCAACACTGAGAAACTGGAAAACTAGTTTTCCAAGTGGCTGCTCTCTTTTTACATTCTTATCAGCTGTGTATTAAGGTTCC